TAGAGCATCGGCCTGTGAACAGGTCATGTGTTTGATTCCCGTGATTCCAGTCAAGGACACATACCTGGGTTGCAGGTTCAATTCCCAGCCCTGATTGGGTGCATGCTGGAGGCAACCAATCGATGTATCTCTTTCACATTGATGTTTCTCTCTCCCTCCCTCCCTCCCTCCACTCTCTCTAATAATCAATGGAAAAAATACCATCAGGTGAGAACAAACAAAAAAAAGGAAGGAAATCTTACCACTTCCAACACCACAGATGGACCTAGAGGGTATTATGCTCAGTGAAATAAGTCAGTCAGATAAAGACACCATATGATTTCATTTATATGTGGAATCCAAAGAACAAAATAAACAAACAAAATTGAAACTGACTCATAGACACAGAGAATAGACTGGTGGTTGCCAGGGGGGAGCAAGGTTGGGAGACTGGGTCAAAGAGAGGAAGGGATTAAGAAGCACAAATTGGTAGTTTCAGAATAGTCACGGGGATGTAAAGTACAGCATAGGGAATATAGTCAATAGTATTGTAATAACTACGTATGGTGCTAGGTGGGTACTGGAAACATCGAGGGGAATATTATGTAACATATATGATTGTCTAACTGCTAAGCTGTATACTGAAACCAATACAAATAAAATTAAAAGTAAACTGAAAAGAAAAAAGAGAAATAATGAAAAGAAAATAATAAATTGAATTAGATACCATTAAAAGATACTCTTTTTAAGGAAAATAAAGCTAAGTATTCTAACATGTATGCTCATTTCTTGTGTTATATAAATTTGCACCATTTATTTATTTATTTATTTGTTTTTAATAGATCTTTATTGATTTCAGAGAGAGGAAAGGAGGGGGAGAGGGAGAGACAGAAACATCAATGATGAGAGAGTCACTGATCAAGCCTGCAACCCGGGCATGTGCCCTGACCGGGAATCGAACCCCGATCGCCTGGATCCTAGGTCGACGCTCAACGGCTGAGCCACACCTGGCCAGGCTAAATTTGCACCATTTAAACAACAAGTTAGTAGAGAAGGGGGAAAAGGAATTTGTTTATTATTATAGTCCCCTTTAAATTTCCTGTTTTCTTTACTATATAGATTATTTCAGTAAATTTAAGGTCTCCTACATTCAACTGTAAACTCGGTTTCGAAGACCAAAACAGAAGGCTCAAACCATAAGGGTTCAGAGGAAATAAAAAACTGAGGCTCTCTTCAAAAATATTACCTATCTTCACTCCAATTTGTTGGCACAGTCATTAATTGCTTCTATCTTTTTTAAAACTTTTCTAAAATACAAATATAAAGATTAAGAATCACCATTTTGTAGTATACAGATAAAGAAACTCATAATTTAAGCTTTCTTCATTAGCTGTGGCACCTGATATGAGCATCATATTTACTGAGATAAAAAATAATCATACCACTATTTACTTGACAATAACTGATTTTCAAAAAGTATATATTAAATAGATCTATTCTGGAGTTTCCTGAAAACATTTTAAACAGTGCTACAGGGGGAAAAAGATAAGTTCTTGACCTGAGGAAACAGTCAGCCTGGTTTTAAAAGAACAGAAAGGAGAGCAAAACCATGAATGCTTCCAAGTAATGGAATAGATACTCCAAGCTATGACCGGTAGAGACAGCACACTGGGGAAGAACGCCACTGTGGAAGGCAAGCACGGTGGAGAGAGCATTAACCAGAAACAGCATGTGCAGAAGTGGTTATGGGAGAGCATGGTGTGGTCAAGGGCTTTTGATTAACGCACAGGTCCTATTACGACGGGTGAGTTGCCCACGCTTCTATTTGGGGCCATCTCTTCTTCACTGAGACATCAGATCTTAGTCCCTCTTTCCTACTCAGGCTCCAAAACATCTCCCCTTCTCTCTACATCACTGACTTCTCTCTGTACGGAAGCAACTCCATCCACACAAAAAGATGCTGTTGTTTTTCTCCTGCTGTTATTCCTCACCTCCTATACCCTTCCGCCTGTTGCACCACTTTTCTACACATCTCTACAGTGAAATTCCTTGAAAGAAAAATTCTCTATACTCCCTCTGCTCCTATTCTCTTAAACCCACTCCACTCAAGCTTTGGTCCAGGCCGCTCCACTGAAACAGCATACGTCAAGGTCTCCAATACCCCCTCCACATTGCCACCAGTCAGCTCTGCACTTCATTCAGCCCACTCGCCTGCCAGCGGCATCTGACACTGCTGATCACTCCTTCCTTCTTGAAACACTCTTTGATTTGGCTTTAGGGATAGTGCATCCTCTGGATTCTCACTCTACTTCATATTCCCTCACCAGCTCCTCACCTCAATTTCTTGCTCAAGGGCCCAGTACTTGGATCTCCCTCTGTACTTACTCCCCAGGTGATTTCATTCAGCCTCAGGGCTCTAATCTCTTCCATAGCTGATGACTACCACATGTACGTCTCCATCACAGCCTCTGACCTCCTGACTCCTTACCCGACTTTCTGCTTACTCCTCATTGCCACAGAAGTCCAACAGGCATCTGTGCAGAAAAGGGTTAACAGAGCAGGTCGGCTTATACCCAAGGGCACAGACAATGTGATGTAGGCCTTGGTGGGCTGGGTGGAGGGGGGTAAAAAGGGGTGGGGAAATGGGGGACACCTGTATGTCAACAACAAAATAAAATAAAAAGGCCTGCTTGCAAGGTAGACCCTTGGCTGGCACCTGTGGAGTTATTTCAGGTGAGTTCACACCATTCCTTGGTAGGATCAGCTCAGTGTCCTAAACCACCCCTGTAAATGTTACAATGAACGCCTGCTTTCCTTCTGAGAGACAGGAATTTTAGAATGTACTAGGCAGAGGGTGGCTATGTGGCCAGGATTCCCTTGAGAAATGGCTGATTGTAGTTCTGGTAGAAAATATACAAAATGAACCTAAAATATCTTGAAAGCAAGAAAACTATCAAAGACTACTAGGATTGTGTTAACAGAACTCAGGAGTCAACTTCAAGAGGCTCCCACTGGTCAGAGTTGGGCAATCTGAGCATCGGCGAGAGTGATTACTGTGTGGATTAGAACGCATGAAACCTGTTTAAACCCATGAGTTCATCAGATAACTACACAAACTCACTCAATGATCCCCTTCGAGGATACCAGGTGACTAAGTAAGTGTTTTAAAAGTTGGTGAATGAAAGAAAATTTATTCTTTCTTTACTAACAGTATTCAAGATGACCAACAATTTGACGAGAGGATAGCTCCCTTTATAGAAATATTCTGCTAATATCGAAAAAAAGGAACAATAGAATAGCACCATTTTGCAACTTCTAATAAATTAGTGGATTTTCTAGGCAATGATCATTAATGGCTGCTAACATCTCAAGGTAGATGTTACAAGGGAGGGGAGGGACTCTGTAGAGCGAAACCAACTACAATATATAGACCTTATTTAGATTCTGACTTGAAGACACATATGCAAACATATAAGACAACTGGAGAAACTGAAACTTTGATATTTTATAACATCATGAGACTGTTATATTTTAGTGAGATAATGTTAGTGAAACTATGTATGAAAGAGTTATATGCTGGAGATGCATAAGAGTATCTGCAGATAAAATGGTGTGACATCTCAAATCTCTTTGGAACACTGGGAGGGGAGAGGGAGTGAGGACACAGAGGAAACACGATGAGCCATGTTGATAACTGCTCAGGCAGGCAAAAGAACACACAGAGGTTCACTGCATAAACCACTCTGCCTTTGTACATGTTTTAAATATCCTGTAATATGTCTTCTGTTTTTGTTGTGCTTGTTAAGAAATATTGTTTCATTCCCACAGGACTGGGAAGAGATATAAGCAGTCTAAGAATGTTCTGTATTAGGGAACTCTTAACTGCTGGTAGAACAGTAAACCAGTGGGCTACTTTGAAAAACCAATTTGGGAAAGCTGAGGATGCAAACACCACACCATTCCACTTACAAGTTTCTGCCCTGGAGAACTCTTGAACATATGTACACAAAAAAAATATGTACAAGAGTAATCATGGAAGACTTTATAAGCAAAACATTTAAAGCTAAAAGTGCATGATTTATTTATTCCATAAATCATGGAATATTCAAAGTCTACTATCTGGAAGCAAAAGTAAATGACCAAGAGATATATGTTGACGTGGATACATCTAACAAACATAACTTTAAATGAAGGACCCATTTGAAGTATATATAACTTACGATATCGATGCACTGAGTTTTAAAGTGGGCCTGAGAATGAAACACCAAATTCAGGGTTGTGCTTACCCTCATGAGGAGGTGGGAACGTACTGGTGTGTGTGCGTTTAACTAGGCGTGGTTACAGAGTGTTCCTATATTGTTTTAAATATGTTTCTCAAAATCCTAGGATAAAAAACATTGAGAAGCAACATTAAGGATAATTTTTTAATTTCTATATTTTAAAAGTTTGATTGTAATGAGTAATGAATGTACATTACTTCCATAATAATCAAACCTTTTTGTTTGGTAATTCAGGCTTTTCTTTCACAATCTTCAAACTAAATATGATATTCCAATAGTTATGTAACAACGGGCCTAAATCTAACACTGCAGAATAAGAGCTAGAACAATGACAGCAGCTGTTGATGTATTAGCAGCTAAAGCAAAGATGCCCTGCAAAGTTCAAACAGTTAATAAGAGGGAATTATCACCAAGGAAACAAAATTATAGTAAGTTTAGATCAAGTTTTGACCCATAACAAGTCAAAGAGGACTGAGCATCATTAATTGCTATAACCACATATCTCACCCTCATCTAATCCTTATAGAAAGAATAACTTGCCTAAGAAATAACTTAGTATATTACATCTAATTAACATTTTACTATTTACATGTCATTATTAGATTGGCCACTAGAGGGCCCCAAACAGCAGAGCAAAAACCTTCAAAAGCTCTCAAAACCAAGTTGAAGAGCAAGAAACACATTCCCCTGAAGCGCAGGTGGGCACACTTACAGGTATTCACATTAGCTGCATAAACTTACTGTGATAATGGACATCCCTGTCTCGAATCCTTGGGTATCTCCCCAATGGTTTCTTCCCCTTTAGCTTCAAATCTTTAAAAACAAAACAAAAAAACCTTCTTTGTTGCTTTTTCTTGTGTTTTCACTTCCCGTTTATTTTCAACCCACTTAAAGATGGCTCTTACTCCAATCATGTTGCTATGACACTATTTTGCTATGGAAACCAATAACCTGTAACAGCCAAATCCAAAAGTCAGTTTTCAATCTTCGTATGACTGCCATTTGAAACTGTTTATCAAACCTCATTTTCTCAAAACATTCTACGTTTTTGAACCTGTGAGACCATCAAATTGGAATTCTTGTGTGCTTAAAAGACAAGTAATTACTGATTTACTCATTCAATCATTCATGTAACAAATATCTACTCGATGCTACAGGTCAGGCATTATGCTGGGCACTAGGAATCAAACAATAATAACAAGGAGCTTTAACAGTCCAATGGGAGAGAGAAAATGACAATTATAAAATAGTAATATTGAGCTCCCACAGGATCAAATGCAGGGTGTCCCTAGGAGGGAGAAGCCTGGGGCAACTCAACCAAAGGAGAACTGCCCATTACCTGCAATTTTAGTGACAAAACTTTATTTTATTATTTATTTACTTATTTATTTATTTATTTTTAATTTACCATCATTAAAATTTTATTTTATGACACCCAATTTTAAAAAATAAAATTTTCATATTATTTATTTTCCATTCCACACCTATATATATTTTTGTTTGTTTGTTTAAAATTACAGATGTCCCTTTTTCTCTCCAATAACCCATTCCACCCCGTCCCCTCCACCTCCCCAGGCCCTCTCCCCACCATTGTCCGTGTCCTTGGGTTGTGCATATATGCATATAAATTCTTTGGTTACTCTCTCCCCCTCCACCCATCCGCCCTCCTCCATCCCTCTGAGATTCATCAGTCTGATCCATGCTTCCATGTCATTGAATCTATTCTGTTCATCAGTTTATTAAGTTCTTTAGATTAGTGACAAAATTTTAAAACTGAATTTAAATATTCAGAAAAAAAGAGGACAATATAGCCCCTGAGTCACCCCACCTCCCACCCCAACACAGGATCCAGGACAGCAGCCTGAGTTGCCTTACTCAAGGGACAGGCCTGCTATGGGTAATGGCCAAAGTGTTTAACGAGAGTGTAGGACACTCACTGCTTCGATGTCCTGAATGTCCTGCAATCTGACCTCTATTTGCCATCTGTATTAAAACAGTGAAGTCCAAATTGTATAAGTCTCACAGTGCTTGACTACTCCGACTGTGAAACTCTCCTGAGTTTCTAGAACACTCCTCTTTCCTAACTAGTTCTTCCACCTCCAGTACTTCTCCCTCTTCTTCCTTGGGCCATCTCTTCTTTTCATTCCACACAACTCTGCAGAATTTCACCTCAGCCCATTCATTTAACTACTAAATACCCGATTATGCTTTATCAGTTAACTGAACCAACCACTCTCCCTAACATCAGACATATTTCTAGGATCACTTTATTTGACACAATTACTGTAGATGAAAAAGCAATATTGTTTCTATTTAGCCTCTTTCTTTTTATTTTTTATTTTTATAAGAGTTTATTTGAGGCAAACTGACAACATATGCCAGGGAGCAAGATCACAAGTGTTCCTCAGCCTCTTTACTGAAGAGGAAATATGACTAAGTGACCCCATGTCCAGACTGGATTAGAGTCTTTAAATTCAAGTTCGCCCTGCAGGCAGGGGGATGGTGACAACACGGGTGACACAAAGCAGTCTTCAGAGTTCAGGGAAGATCTCCCAGGATAAGATATCTGAAGAAAATCAAGGTTCTATAAGCACAGGTTATTTGTACATAATAACTACTTCAGTGTGCCTTCACTTATTTGTCTAAATATATACCACTGTAGGCACCAGACTCCCCACACACACACACAAAACTGACTAGAAAGTATGGTCCTGTTAATTCAAATTTTTTTTAAAGTCTTTATTCCTAAGGCTACTATGCGTGTGTGAGCAGGGCAGGGATAAGATGCAGGGAGGGCAAGGGGAAACAAAGTTATTTATCAGAGCAAAAATCACAGACTGAGAGTTAAGTTATGGACAACTGATAAATTTCAATGACTCTAGATATGTTTTGGGTGTACTCAGAGGGTTAAAGCTCATTAAGATACCAGATGAAACTTGCAAGTACATGTCCATTACCGGAGTTAATAATTATACAATTTCTCAATCTGCAGAAGGCCACTTTGGTCAGAAAGACCAATACAACCATAACCCTTTATCTTTAGAGTGGTCAGAGTCTGATGAATGGGTCAAAGATTTTTAAAACAGGATGAACTGTATCAGCAGGTTTGTCTTTGTAGAACACTGCAACTAAAAATGCTTATTCCAAAGTATATGTAGTTAAAAGACAGTGCTTTTTCCACCTTACCACCAAACTAAAAAGCTCACTGTTATATGCCTCTCCATTCTATTTTATCCAAAACGCTAAGCACCATAAAGTCCTCAATAGCATCAAAAGGTAAAACAAAAAGACAGCATAGGACTGTAATTAAAAACATGGGTTTTGAGGTAAGGTTGTGGTAGTTTGTTAAAACCCTACTCTGCAACTTACTAAAATGTAAACTTGAAATGGTTGAAGCTAGATGATAGTTACATGGGTTCATTATATATTCTTTCTTTTTCTGTATATTCTGAAACTATCCACAATAAAAAACTAAATTTCTTTACCTGTCAAGTGAAGATTAAGTTTCTTTATCTGTCAAATGAGAACATCAATCACTATTTGACAGTGACTGTAACATGGGCATGGAGTAATTACTCAAAAAATGTTAATCTTAAACCTCAGAAACTCTAACCCGAGGGAAAGGGGGTGGGAGAGGTAGAAGAGGGTAGAGGGAAGATAAATTGTGTTGGAAGGAAACTTGACTTGGGGTGGTGAACACACAATACAATATACAGATGACATATTATAGAACTGTACACCTGAAACTTATATAATTTCATTAACCAATGTCACCCCAATATATTCAATTAAAAAAGAAAATAAACTAACTCTACACACACATACTTGGTGACACAAACAAAAACCAACTAACCGTATTTCCTTCAAGTTTTTGTTCTACTGTGTATTTGACACAGTTGTAACCATAAAATTGAAGTGATTTTGTATTCTGCTTCAATCTATATATGCCACCTATAGCCTAGAATCTTCCTAATCATTTTTAATTTTAGCCTAATATTTTAATAATGAATCTAATTTAGTTAACCATTACTAATTCATTAATTTGCTCTAAACTGTCACTATTATAGCCATCGCTGCAATAAATTATTTGGGGCAGCCAGCATGAATTTTCAATTATTTTTGTGATACACCCCCAGGTATGGAATTACTGGGTCATATGGCTCTTGATATTCCTTATTATGTTGTTTGCAAGGGAACTGGACACTCTGGAATGCCATACACCATGGCTGAGACTCCCAGTCTTAATCACAACTTTGATAGCATCTGAAAAAGTAAGTCTGCTAGTTCACGATGGCACAGAAGTGCTTTACAGTTGCTTCATTTGCATTTCCAACTGAAAAATAGTGAATTTTAAATTACAGTTGAATTAGCATCCTTAACATATGAGGAGTATGCAAGCATGTACACATGCAGACATACAAAGTAATAGAAAAGCAGGTTAAGAAGACAGGCAGGTGTGTATCACAGAAAAACACATGGTTAGAAAAACTAAAAACATTCCCCTTCCTAATAAAATGAAAGAAAAATTTATAAATTGATGAGAAAATGTTTCTACTTATCAAACTAGCCAACATTCCTGAAGAAGAAACAGGGGTGTCAGAAAGGGGCTGGCACTGGTAGGAGTGTAGCCAGTAAAGCTAGTGGGGGGCAATATGGCCATGCACACCAACGGTCTTAAAATCCTGACCCCTCAGTCTCCACCTTGTGCTTCTAGGAATATGACCTAAAGGGGAAAACAGTATATATACTCTCACAGATCGAGCTACGAGGACGTTCACAGCAGTGCTGTGTGTATGCTAGAATAGCTAAGAACATGAGCACTGACTGGATCTGGTTGAATAAATTATGGCACATCCATACAAAGGCAAACTATATAGCCACTTAAAATCATGAAGACTATAAAATATCATGCAAAAGGTTTTCTTCAATATACTGATATGTAAAATAAGGAGACTATAGAAAATTACATATGGAAAGATCTTATTTTCTATCTTTAAAGAACAGTATTCAGTTTACCACCATTTGCCTTGACATTAGAGACCATCACCTCTCCTAGGTAAGAAACACATGTGTTGTCCACATGACTGGTACAAGTGGTGGTAAAAAGAAACCGTTCTTTTATTCTTTCATCTCATTTAATCAGTACAAGTTGTTATCTTAATTCATTGTGCTAAGAAGTAACACTGAGTACTGACAACCTGAGTACTAGGTACCTTCCTGCTGAACTCTTTATTCCTTTTCTGTTTCAATTGATTTTAAGAGAGAGAGAGGACGGGACACAGAAAGAAACATCCATCTGCTGTTCCACCCATTCATGCATCATTGGTTGTTTCCTGTATATGCCCTAACCAGGAACTGAACGCACAACCCTAGCATACTGGGACAATGCTCTAACCAACTGAGCTCCCAGACCAGGGCTGAACTCTTTACTCTTAAGAATTACTAATAGTGGTCCTGGTCGGTTTGGCACTGTGGTTCAAGCATCGGCCCACAGACTGAAGGGTTCCAGGTCTGACTCCAGCCAAGGGCATGTACCTGGGTTGCAGGCTCGATCTCCCCCTTCAAGGGGGAGATAGCCAATCAATGTGTGTCTCTCTCCCTTTCACTCTATCTGAAAAGCAATGGAAAAATATCCTCGTGTGAGGATTTAAAAAAAAAAAACTACTAATGGTGGTGCTCTCTCTCAGGAGCATGCGCACACCTTTCTTCCCTCTCAGGCACGCATCTCCTACTCTAAGGGTCCCCACTAGACTTGCAAACAGGGGTAACCACCTGAACTTGTCTCCAAGGCCCCCTTTTCTGACTTTTCAGTG